GTACTACTGACGGTTGCTCCAACAGAGGGTACAACGCTATTTGAAGAAATCTCAGCCAAGACAAACTACAAGGAATCTGCCGAGATACTAGTGGTGGAATCCTTTACTGATGGAACAGCTTCAATTGCCCAAACTCAGCCAACACCAGCTGTGACTCATCCTGTCTCAAAGTTAGTTGAGGCATCAGACAGAGTCTCTGATTCACTGTCAGAAGCAATAATTGCTGCAGCTTGTGATGAAGTTTCTGCAACACATAACCCAACGCTGGCAGACACAACGTCTCCCTTGATCTCCGGTTTAGCTACCGAAGCAATTTCCTCTGTGCCTTCGATCACAGAATCAGCCGCAGAAACTCCAACATTAGAGGCGTTATCAACTGAACCTTCAGATACAACCCTAGTTGTGGACTCTTCAAAACTCCAGGCGGTAACCTCTGAACCCGCCAATTCTTCGATTATAGCAGAAGTCGCAGAAATAACACTTGAGGCAACATCCGCCAGACCTTCGATTATAGCACCAGTCGCTGAATCAACACTTGAGGCAACATCCGCCAGACCTTCGATAATAGCACCAGTCGCAGAATCAACACTTGAGGCAACATCCGCCGGACCTTCAATTATAGCACCAGTCGCAGAATCAACACTTGAGGCAATATCCGCCGGACCTTCCGTTATAGCACCAGTGGCAGAATCAACACTTGAAGAAACATCCACCGGACCTTCGATTATAGCACCAGTGGCAGAATCAACACTTGAGGCAACATCCGTCGGACTTTCGGTTATAGCACCAGTGGCAGAATCAACACTTGAGGCAACATTCGCCGGATCTTCGGCTATAGCACCAGTGGCAGAATCAACACTTGAAGAAACATCCACCGGGCCTTCGATTATAGCACCAGTGGCAGAATCAACACTTGAAGAAACATCCACCGGACCTTCGATTATAGCACCAGTGGCAGAATCAACACTTGAAGAAACATCCGCCGGACCTTCGATTATAGCACCAGTGGCAGAATCAACACTTGAAGAAACATCCACCGGACCTTTGATTATAGCACCAGTGGCAGAATCAACACTTGAGGCAACATCCGTCGGACCTTCGGTTATAGCACCAATGGCAGAATCAACACATGACGCAACATCCGCTCAAATTTTGAATACATCCCTGGGTGTACAATATCCAAAACTCGAGGCAACATCATCTGAACGTCCGAAAACAGCACCAATTGTAAAATCTCCAGAAATAAAAGCAATATCCTCTGAACCTACAAAAACAGCACCAATTGTAGAATCTCCAGAAATAAAAGCAATATCCTCTGAACCTTCAAAAACAGCACCAGTTTTAAAATCTCCAGAAATTAAAGCAATATCATCTGAGCCTTTAAAAACAGCACCAGTTGTAGAATCTCCAGAAATAAAAGCAATATCTGCTAAACCTACAAAAACAGCACCAGTTTTAAAATCTCCAGAAATAAAGGCAATATTCACAGAACCTTCGAAAACAGCACCAGTTGCAAAATCCACAGCATTAGACACAAAGGCTGTGTTGGTGTCAGGGATATCTGTGACACTGCCTGACGTAAGTGTAGCGTCAGTTGCTGAGTCTATCATTAAGTTGGACGAAAAATCGGCTATATCAGTCACTGCCTCACTTGATGAAACATCAGCGCCGCTATCGGTGACCTCAGCTGTAGCGTCAGCAATATTCGTTGATGAAACATCACCGGTACCAACTTCTTCATCAGTGGATGAAATCCTAGCCACGCCCACTTCTACACCAGTTGATGACACAACTGCCACACCCACTTCTACACTAGTGAATGAAACATCAGCTACGCCGTCTTCTACACCAGTGGATGAAACGCCGGTCACGCCCACGTCTACACTAACTGATGACACCCCAGCCACGCCCACGTCTACACTAACTGATGACACGCCAGCCACGCCAACTTCTACACCAGTAAATGAAACATCAGACATAATACTAATTGATGCAACACAAGTTACCACATCATCTGCATTTGTTGACGAAACATCATGGACTACACAAAATGACGAAACATCTGCTGCACAGCTACGGGATGCGATATCAGCCATAACATCTCCCATATCGGTTGATAAAACATCATTTACAACGGCGTCTTTAACATCAAGTGCAGCCTCTCAACTACCGCTGCATGCAACAGCAGGCACTGCAACAAAAACATCTTCTACTTTGGTGGCAGCAGTAACAACATCGTCTCGAGCTGCAACATCACCCGCCATCCCATCTTCCTTACCCATCAGAGCGCCAACAGTGGTGACATCTCCCATTTCACCGAAAGCAACAGCAAAACTGTATGACGTTTCATCCTTTGTCTCATCACTGATGCCCTCTGATGAACTGTCAAACATTAGATCCTCACCATCACGTGATGCAACGTTTGACATGACGTATTCCACATCTCTCCATGGCAACAAGCAGTTTGCACCGCCATCTTGGCGCCCCATTGATGAAAGCACGATTACCATGACCCACAGTACCCGGATAATTAATTTGAACACGGCGCCACCCTTCAATAATGACAATTCGCCAACATATATCCCACCAACTGATACAACTCGAGCCCTAAATGACTTACTGAATAACCCTCTTACTGTTACCAAAGCCCAAGCAAGGACATACATAACGTTAACAAACACGCCGTCCTTTTCAAATGCATCGCCAATCAACTATTCAGAGTCCACAATTACAGTGCCTGTAGTCACACGGAGCAGTAGTATTAACAATTGGAGCTCCCTTGAAGGTTCAAAGGTGTCGCCGATCAACTACTTAAAGCCCAAAATTACTGCACCCGTGGTCACACCAAGCAGTAGTAAAGACACTTGGCACCCCAGTGAAGATTCAAAGGCGTCGCCAATCAACTATTCAAAGCCCCAAATTACAGTGCCTGTGGTTACACGAGGTAGCAGTAACGACACTTGGCGACCCAGGGAGGATCCACCCGTGTTTAAACCCACCAAGTTCACCCCAGGATCTTCAAAAGAACAGACTGGTGGACAATATTCCACAACCACAAGATTTGAAGTGGAAGAGGAAAAGACGAGACTCAAACCCATTTTCCAGGTAAGAACTGACGCTTTTAAATTCTACATAATTGTTAGAGTATGGAGGTTGATAACATGATGATTTCTTTGGTTGATAAATTAATGTTGCTTTGTTGATTAGCTGATTTGTTTATTGGGGGGGGGGGGGTGGAGGCATATGAATTGCAGCCCACTGATATGGTCAGTGTGTAGTTTCTTCTCTAACTCACAGCCTGAGCAATAGTGTATACAGCATATGTTGCCCATGCACCATGATCCCTCTTGTGGCCTGCCAGGTTTCCTCCAAAGGAAAGATAACACCAATACGTTTGGAACAAAGCACGCTGCAGAAGCTGCCGGACCAGAAGAGCAGTGCTCTATTTGTCTATGCCCGTCTCCAGCAAGGGCTTTAGGGTATACCCGTGAAGGACTAATGGCTGTGGACGATTGGTGACATAACTTGTCCTAGTGCCTGTTTTAGGCTAGTGAACCGAGATCCAAAGACTCCTTTTCGATAGAGATTAGAAGGAATACATAACCACCAGCCGAGTGGTAAAAGTACAAACCAATACGCTTTTATTGTCTCTCCTTGTCTTACTGTCAGAAATAATCAGCGCAGCGTACCCCACAGATTAACGCTCTCCTGCCAACATGATATTGTCCCTGTATTTTCCTAAGTTACTATTCTTGCTCTTACTTAATTTTCCTAAGTTACTATTCTTGCTCTTACTTAATTTTCCTAAGTTACTATTCTTGCTCTTACTTAATTTTCCTAAGTTACTATTCTTGCTCTTACTTAATTTTCCTAAGTTACTATTCTTGCTCTTGCTTAATTTTCCTAAGTTACTATTCTTGCTCTTGCTTAATTTTCTTACTATTCTTGCTCTTGCTTTATTTTCCTAAGTTACTATTCTTGCTCTTGCTCTTGCCAACTATTTACCTGAACTCAGTTTCCCAGAGAAGCGTTAACATCCGACTGAGTTGGGAGTTAACATCCGACAGCATTGGGAGTTAACATCCGACAGAGTTGGGAGTTAACATCCGACAGAGTTGGGAGTTAACATCTGACAGAGTTAGGAGTTAACATCCGACGAGTTGGGAGTTAAGATCCGACGAGTTGGGAGTTAACATCCGACAGAGTTGGGAGTAAACATCCGACAGAGTTGGGAGTTAACATCCGACAGAGTTAGGAGTTAACATCCGACAGAGTTGGAAGTTAACATCCGACAGAGTTGGAAGTTAACATCCGACAGAGTTGGAAGTTAACATCCGACATAGTTTGGATTTAACATCCGACGAGTTGGGAGTTAACATCCGACAGAGTTGGGAGTTAACATCCGACAGAGTTGGGAGTTAACATCCGACAGAGTTGGGAGTTAACATCCGACTGAGTTGGAAGTTAACATCCGACAGAGTTGGAAGTTAACATCCGACAGAGTTGGGAGTTAACATCCGACAGAGTTGGGAGTTAACATCCGACAGAGTTGGGAGTTAACATCCGACAGAGTTGGGAGTTAACATCCGACTGAGTTGGGAGTTAACATCCGACAGAGTTGGAAGTTAACATCCGACTGAGTTGGGAGGAACCATCTACTTCCTCTGCAGTATTAGCGTAAACATGATAGCCTACATGCAGCCTGGATTCTGATATCCTACATTCCGCCGCCGTGGTGTAGCGGCTAGACGCTTGCGTGTGGATCGGAAGGTCATGAGTTCGGGTCCTGGCGGAGCCGGACTCTCCCAGGTCGAACCCTGCCTTAAATGGGTACAAGGTACAGTCATGGGAAGTAAAGGCGGCCGGTGTGATGTCGACTACATCACCCATCGAGTCCCGATTTGTCTATAAAATATAGATCTAGCCCGCTATGCCCAGTGCGTCTGAAAGAGTGGAAAGAGGTCCTTTACTTTGACTCACATGCAGCCTAATGTCTGCAGGTTTCTAACCTTATATCAGCACGGGCCCCAGAGGTATGGCGCCCCAACACCTGGGTGCCTGGACAGGACCAGAGACAGGTGACTAGCCACGTGAGCAGCTCCTCCTCCTACCCGAGTGTCTCCCAAGTTCAAGGAAACTACTCAAAGACGGGTGGACAACATGCAGCTAGAACTGCTCCTCAGGTTTCTGGAAAGAGGTAAACATATAACTGGCTGGGTCATTTTATTTTAGTGCACCCCATCTCGGGGACTCATATAGTTGTCAGGGAGTTTCACCAGCTTAACACCAAATTAACACCAGTTAACTCTAAACCACTCATGAATTGAACTCTATCTGAGAACTCTCGGATTTCCTAAGATGGGGTGAACTAAAATGATAGTGCCAGTAGCTGTACTGTGCGTGTTTGATGCACACATCTCTTCAGTTCTTCTTGAGGTACTTTGTGGCGGTCATTAGTTCAAAACGGGATCCAGAAACATCTTTACACAATTCCAGGACCTGTCTGAAAAGAAAAGGGGTGAGGAAGGCAAAAACATAGATGTGATGTCATGCATAGATGTGATGTCATGCATAGATGTGATGTCATGCATAGATGTGATGTCATGCACAGATGTGATGTCATGCATAGATGTGATGTCATGCATAGATGTGATGTGATGCATAGATGTGATGTCATGCATAGCTGTGATGTCATGCATAGATGTGATGTCATTCACAGATGTGATGTCATGCATAGATGTGATGTCATGCATAGATGTGATGTCATGCATAGATGTGATGTCATGCATAGATGTGATGTCATGCATAGATGTGATGTCATGCATAGATGTGATGTCATGCATAGATGTGATGTCATGCATAGATGTGATGTCATGCACAGATGTGATGTCATGCATAAATGTGATGTCATGCATAGATGTGATGTGATGCATAGATGTGATGTCATGCATAGCTGTGATGTCATGCATAGATGTGATGTCATGCACAGATGTGATGTCATGCATAGATGTGATGTCATGCATAGATGTGATGTCATGCATAGATGTGATGTCATGCATAGATGTGATGTCATGCATAGCTGTGATGTGATGCATAGATATGATGTCATGCACAGATGTGATGTCATGCATAGATGTGATGTCATGCATAGATGTGATGTCATGCATAGATGTGATGTCATGCATAGATGTGATGTCATGCATAGATGTGATGTCATGCATAGATGTGATGTCATGCACAGATGTGATGTGATGCATAGATGTGATGTCATGCATAGATGTGATGTCATGCATAGATGTGATGTCATGCACAGATGTGATGTGATGCATAGATGTGATGTCATGCATAGATGTGATGTCATGCATAGATGTGATGTCATGCATAGATGTGATGTCATGCATACCGTGTTTCGTCAGGGGAAGGAAAGAGACCGGGTCTTATAAAAATGTTGGCTTAAAAATACACTGCAGCTTATTTTCGGGGGATTTTCTTGTTGTTGAGATTTACATTTATTTTTGTATAAAATTATGCATTCATTCACATACAGTCGCAGCGACCAGCACTAGGTAAACTAAGCACCAGCAAAACCCACAGACATCAGCACTTAGAGAACTGGACCCGACCAGACCCAAAAACCCCAAGCACCACACCGGACCCAGGAAGCAAAGAACCTGAATATCAAGTGTGACTACATACTACACACACAAAATTGAAAATCAAATAAGATAGCCAAGGAACCTTCCTTCATATAGCAGGCCTCCAGGCGGCTGAAAAAGGGTCAAATTTGGAATTTTTGTTGGACAACTGGAATTGGAATTTGACATAGAGTCATGCTATCCCCCCCCCCCCCCCTCCTTTTTGTGTGGAATATCGTCATCTTTAAAAGTAAAGTTAAAGTAAAGATCCTTTTTCACGCCTTAGGGGCATCGGGCATATGGGAAGAGCGTCCCATATTTGTACAGACCAATCGGCACTGGGTGGGTAATGTGGTCAGCATTACGCCAGCCGTCTTTACTTCCCCAGGACAGCCATCCTGGTACCCATTTTAGGCTGGGTCCCATACCATGATAAAATCGACGCAGCCAACAGTGGGTTTCGATCGCGTTTGTTGGAATTACGAGCCGGACTCGCAACGCCTAAACCACGGACGCCGCTTATTGTCATCCCTCCAAATCCTAAATCCCAGCCTGAATTTCTAGCGACTCCGTTTTCTGTAGTACCATTGATCATAGTGACGTCTGTACTCCGATTGAGCATTTGACAACAAGTCTCTCACTCTAGCTGACGATCTTCACTCGGATTTATTTTTGGAGTAGGGCTTATAATAAAAGCACCCTGAAAAATTGTGCAAGGGTAATTTTTTTTTTTTTTTTTTGGAAATCTGTGTAACACAAAATGTGACTAGAAAGCTCAACGAAAGGAATGGAAAAGACGCACACAAACACAACTGAACGTTTCGAAAAAAAGTCTTTATCAACGGAATACTAAATGCAGCGCAAACTGTGACTGAAAAACTCTACAGACAAGACAACAAATCTAATTTTGTGTCAAGTCAACATGAAACAAAGAAGTACGTAACTGGTGGACGGGGCGGGGGTGGGGTGGAGGGAGATATGAATATAAAGGGCTACATAGGCACTAGTGTTTTGAACTAAAATATAAAATAAAAATGACACCACAGAAGGTAAAACAATTTAACCGGATACACGGGGCAGGCGTAGCCTTGGTTTTTTTGTTGTTTTTTTTTTTTTTTTGCTTTGTTGTCTTTACTGTTTTCTAGTCACAGTTTGCGCTGTATTTAGTTTTCGGTTGATAAAGACTTTTGTCGAAACGTTCGATTGTGTTTGTGTGTGTCTTTTCTATTTCTTCCGTTGAGCGTTCTAGTCTTATTTTATGTTAGATTCAGCATTTCTTGTGGTCCGCTCGACTACAGTCACCCCCTATTTACGTCATTTTTGTGGTGGGGGGGGGGGGGTAGGTCTTTTTTTAAACAGGATAATAAGGCAATTATGAATGTTTTTTTTAATGATCGGTGTATGCTTGTGTCTATCACCTGCATTCTTCATGTCAACAGTTACCAGGGCAGCTCGCAGAATGAAGGCCAAAGCTACAACATCAAAACAAACCGTAAGCAGGAGAAACTGCACGCATTTGGTCCCGCAGCTGAGATTCGCCCGGAGATTGGTTACCCGGACAACCGATACTCCCAGCCTGAACACTACCGGCATGCTGCTGCTGTGTACGACGAGCTCACCTCTCCCGATCCATTGGGAATGAGACAAGAAGGTAGGTATTTCCCCGTCTGGCTGTGTACATGCTTTTGTACGAGCCTTATACACTCACCCACAATGATTGGTATGTAGATGTTCTGTTTGCCCATTAGCATTCTCCGCGTGTCTGCCATTGTTTGCTAATGTTTGATCTTAAGGGCGCGAAGACTAACATTTGGAGTCAGTGTTTGCAAGCATTCAACAAAGTGAGAAACAAAAATGAACAAAGTGAAGGTTTTGTTTACACGCTGTAGGATGTGTTTTGTATAAAGCGCCAACCCCCAAGTCTTTTAGACCTATCATAGTTCGGCGAGTTCAAAGAGTTGACGGAGGAAATCAGTAAGGGCAAGGAATTACTGTGTAACCTTGCTAACTCTCAACTCACTTTTTCTAGCACGAACTTGGTTTTAGGTTTCGAAATTCGTGTTAACGAAGATGAACTGCACCAACCACGTTAACAGCCATACCTTAGGTTGAAATAAAATAAAATAAAAAATAAAAAATATTCATCACGAAACATTTAAAGTTGGCGAGTATCAGTGGAAGGATATAACATCAAGACATAAGTGAATAACAGTCAAAGTGTGTACACACAGGGCAAGTCTTCTTCTTCTTCTCCTTTCCTTCGCCTGAAATAAGTTGTCTATATCAGCAGTTTTGTCTCTTGTATAAATTTCACTGTCGTTGTTAGTTCATTCAGTGGTCCATAGAGTTTACGTTCCACTGTTGTTCTTTCTGGCCAAAAGGATTGCCTTAATGTGTCAAAATCGGTGCAGTCCTGGAGTACATGCTCTGCTGTCTGGGGCACATTTCCACAGGTGCACATAGCTGATACACCTATCTTGAATTTTGTGTACATGTGGTTACGTAATCGGTTGTGCCCTGTTCTGAGGCGGAGGATAATGACTTGTTCTGGTCTGTCCATAATAAAATAGTCGTCTTGTGCTGGGGCTGGTGGTTTCCTGATCGATTTAATGATTCTTTTCTTTTGGTTATATGTGACTGGTACATCCGGCTGCTCTTTTGTCGCACCTTCCCCTGCCAGTTGATCAGCTTTCTCATTTCCAGGCACTCCACAATGAGACAGTATCCACTTTATTACGACTCTTCGCTGTACGCTGAGTTGTGTCAGCAGTGTTTGCAATTCTGGTAGTTTCCTAGACTGGAGTGCTTCAAGTACTGATTTAGCATCTGTCAGCATTCCCATATACTGTGAGCCAAGGTTGCTATTTAACAGTTTCTCTGTAGCTATCTTGATAGCCTGGGTTTCTGCATCGTAGTTATGGCAGTACTTCCCGGTTGGTACGCTGGACTTATCCCTAGTGCTATCTGGGAATTCGATGTACACTCCAGCGCCACCATTTCTAACTGCACTTTCCGCGGACCCATCTGTATAGACTCTGACCCATTGTTCTTGTGGGTATTCTTCATCAATATAACTGAGGGTGGCCATTCTGCGTTGTACAATATCTTGCCCTTTCTTGTCAAATATCCCTTTCACATTTGTCTGGATTTGTACCGTTAGTTTACATTTTTCTCCCCATGGGGTTTGTTCCGGAATACTTTTAAGTGGGCAACAAATTTCTGGAAGGTCAGGAGTTTGTCTACATATTCTTTTTGCTTGGTGTAAAAAGCTGCTTCTTTTTAACCGTCCCAAGGCTAGGTTCTTAAAACTTTTTTCCATCGGGTGATCTGGCATACTGAGGAACTTTTCAGCTTGTATTTGCAACTTTGTATCTCTGCGTTCTCTCAGTGCCTGTGTTTTCCCAGCTTTCTCCATTTCTAATATGGGGGTTGATTTCATCCCTCCTGTGATGACTCTGAGCGCTTGATTTTGCTCTTTGTCTAACTCCTTTAATGTGGTACTAGATGCTGAACACCATGCAGTTGACCCATATTCCAAGTGTGGAAGAATGCTCTGCTTGTATACTTTATTTAGTATTTTCCCATCGGCTCCCCATGTGGTTCCACTTAGTTTTCTTAGTATTGCTGTCTTCATCCTGGCTTTGGTTGCTGCCTTGTTGATATGTTTTCTCCATGTCAACCTGTCATCAAATGGGACTCCTAGGTATGTGGGCTCTTTGTCATCTCTCAGGGGTATTCCGTTTATTTTGATGGTGCCGGCTTTTGCTTTGGGGAGAGGGTGAATAGTGTGGTGGTACATTTGTCTGTGTTGATGCTGACACACCATCTATTGGCCCATGCCTCAAGTGCATTTGTAGCCCGCTGTAGTGTTTTTGTGGCTATCGTTGCATGTTCATTGGTGCACCACAGTACCAGGTCGTCGGCATACATTGCCATTTTGATTCCATTTGGTATCTCAGCAAACAGATCGCTGATGAATAAAAAGAAAAGTATGGGCGACAGGACACCACCTTGAGGGACACCTTGTCGCAGTAGAACTTTTTTACTTTTAAAACCATCTACCTGTACCCGGGCTCTTCTGTTATGTAGATATGCTTTAATCCAATTGTACATTTTTCCATTTATTTTATAGTTTCTCAATTTCTTCAAAAGCCCCTCCTTCCAAAAAAGCTTTATCAAAAGCTTTCCTTAAATCTATCCTTGCCGCGAGTACCAGTTTCTTACATTGCCATTTTGATTCCATTTGGTATCTCAGCAAACAGATCGCTGATGAATAAAAAGAAAAGTATGGGCGACAGGACACCACCTTGAGGGACACCTTGTCGCAGTAGAACTTTTTTACTTTTAAAACCATCTACCTGTACCCGGGCTCTTCTGTTATGTAGATATGCTTTAATCCAATTGTACATTTTTCCATTTATTTTATAGTTTCTCAATTTCTTCAAAAGCCCCTCCTTCCAAAAAAGCTTTATCAAAAGCTTTCCTTAAATCTATCCTTGCCGCGAGTACCAGTTTCTTACATTGCCATTTTGATTCCATTTGGTATCTCAGCAAACAGATCGCTGATGAATAAAAAGAAAAGTATGGGCGACAGGACACCACCTTGAGGGACACCTTGTCGCAGTAGAACTTTTTTACTTTTAAAACCATCTACCTGTACCCGGGCTCTTCTGTTATGTAGATATGCTTTAATCCAATTGTACATTTTTCCATTTATTTTATAGTTTCTCAATTTCTTCAAAAGCCCCTCCTTCCAAAAAAGCTTTATCAAAAGCTTTCCTTAAATCTATCCTTGCCGCGAGTACCAGTTTCTTATCTTGAAAAGCATCCTCTATTTCTTGGGAGAGGTATGTTGTCTGGTCTTCCGTAGAGTAGAACATTCTAAAGCCTGCCTGCTGTGGTGTAATGATGTTTTCACTTTCAATGTACCACTGTAGTCTGATGTTGGTGATGCGCTCCATTGTTTTACAGAGACAACTTGTGAGGCTGATCGGTCTGTAGTTGGAGGCATTAGAACTGTCTTTCCCAGGCTTTATGAAGGGTATCATAATTGCCTCTTAGGGCAAGTGATAGAGAAGATTGGCGATCTATTTTAGCCAACTTTTATTCTGGAGACGGCAACTGTCTGATTCTTCTTTCTCTTTTTCCTCTCGTTCACCGGCTGTAAACTCCAGCGGAAAGTTCTGGTTGGTCGTCCACTCCTAGACTTTGGGTTTGATCCAGAAGTTGAGTTCTGCGTGCACACCTGTTTTACAGATTTGACTTATTTGTCAACAGAATGCTGGTTTCTTAACTCTCACGCAGATGCACTCTGACTTTGTCGGAAACACTCCTAATTAGTCGGTTCCTACGACATGCTTGTAAGGGAGGCAGTGGGTATATTCCTTACCCTCTCTGGATTGGAGCCCAGCAAACCAACACGGGCAGCTGATTGGCTGATTGTCTCCAGCGGTGATATTAGTAGTATCACTGCGGCCGCACTATTTTCTCGGGGCGCTGTCTGGTACCCGTTCTGGATTGCGTCGTCTAAATAAACTCGACTGGGTCGGTTTGTCCCTTCCGGGTTGCTACCTGTAGGTTTAACAAAATGATATTTCAAAAAGAAATTTAGGAGGACAGACCAACAACATGGATCATGTATTCCAAGTTCACACTGCTAGATATAATTAGAACACCCATAACAGCGACATGAGCCGTGTGTAACGTGTATTCTTGTGCGGGTAGGGACCTCTACATGGGGGCAGGGTGGAATAACTTCTACTGATTTTTTTCTTATCCCTTAAGGCCTTGGGCATATAGGACTAGACCTATATTTTATAGACCAAGTCGCCTTTACTTCCCAGCACTGAACGTGATACCCATTAAAGGCTAGAGGTAATTTTGGAAGAAAAAAAAAACACGTCAGGAATCGAACCCACGATTTTTCCCACGTCTAGCCGCTCCACCACTGCGGCCCCTCGTTAAAATATGTGCCATGGAGATATCGGTCATGAGGGGCCAACGGAGTTCTCAGTGGCTACTCTTGTTAATTTGTCAGTAAATCCCTTATTAATGGTACGCCTATGCCGAGCCAATACTAAATATAAATTATTTAAAAAAAGACTTAACTGCAAATTGATGGAGTAGCCAGGAGGAAGCTCCCATGGTCCCATGCCGACCGACATCTTTATGTCACACATTGTTACCAATATGCCCAGCCAACCATCCTCATCGTCCTCAAACACTGTATGTCGATGGGTCACCAGTTTCTGTTGACTGATCAGTCTCCACCTTTGACGGTCAGATGCGATAGGCTTCATGGTTGCATACCTGTCCAGCCAGTCAGGTTCTGTAACAAAGTGTTCTTGTTCTGCCTCTTCTCCTTTTCCCCTCTTCTCCTTTTCTCCTCTAGTGTTGTTTTTGAGAGACCGTTAGATCTTATGACATGTCCATACCATTGCATTGTTCGCCTTTTCACTGTAGTTAAAAGAGGTTCATAGTTGCCAATGTGCTGGGTAATTACATATAAAACGAACCTCGTCGTTTGTGATGAGGTCTCTGTATGATATGCCAAAAATTGTTGCGAAAGATCTCATTTCCAAGGCTTTTATCTTTTTTTTTTTTCGAGTTCAACACAGCCAATACTAAATTTAAACGCTAGTGGAATGTTTC